TTAAAATTGTTAATTGTTGTTCTGTGACTCAAGATTTGTTTATGTAAATGTTTGATATTTGTTTGAAAATACTRTGTATTCTACTATTGGGTGGAAAGTTCTATAAATGTTAATTAGATCTGGTTTGTGGATCCTGTCATTTAGTTCTTCTACACTGTTGCAAAGTGTTTAGTTGTTCTGTCAACTATGGATATTGAAGAACCTAACCATAATTCTTGATTTATCCATTTTTCTTTTTCATTTCCATCAGATTTTGCTTCATGTATTTTGGAGCTCCATTGTTTGATGCATACATATTTAGGATTCTTGGTATATTGAGCCCTTTATCTTTATGTAATGTCCCTTTTTGTCCTTAATAATTTTCTTTGCCTTCTTTAAAGTGTATTTTGTATGCTATTAAGGTAGTTACTCCTGCTTTTTAAAAATAAATCTTCACACAATGTGTTTTTTCCTTCCTTTTGCTTTCAACCTGTCTATGTTGTTTTGCTTGAAGTGAGTTTCTTGTAGACAGCATATGGTTGCACTCTTCAATGTCTGTCATGTAATTGGTACATTCACAGCATTTGCATATCATCATTGATATTTAAAGCTTAATTCTCCCATTTAGTTATTGTTTTATGTGTGTTTCCTGCTTCTCATTTCTTTTTAATTTGACTTCCTATGAGTTATTTGACCATTTTTTAATATTCTATTTTGACTTATTTATATTATTTTTAGTACTTCGCTTTGCATCATTAATGATTGTTCTAGGGATTTTCCTTGTAATGATTGTCCTGAGTAGTTTGTAACTACTGGTTTAAGTGCACAAACCTTACTTCCATTTAGGTCCCCTTACTCTCACTATTTAAAAAATGTAATTAAAGTCTTTCCTTCATAAATATTACATACCATATTAGATGGTGCTAAACTTTTGTTTCAGTCATGAAACATGATTTAAAAAACTCATGAAGTTAAGAATTGTCTATTAGGTTTACTTCTTTTTTTCTTCAAATATCTATTTTTTAGTTTTAGGTGGACACAATATCTTTATTTTATTTCTACATGGTGCTGAGGATCAAACCCAGTGCTTCATGCATGCTAGGCAAACACTCTACCACTGAGCCACAACCCTAGCCCCTAGGTTTACTTCTATGTTTACCCATTCCATTGTTGTTCTTTCTTTTTCTGAAAGTCTAATCTCTCTTCTCTAAATGTTTTCTTTCTATTTGAAGAGCTTCCATTAGCCATTCTTTAAGGACAGGTCTTCCAGAAATAGATTCTCATAGTTCTCAACCTGGGAAGATATTTACACCAGCTMTATCATGATTTATAGTTAGCAGTTCATTTATTTCAGCCCTTGAAACACAATGTGTTTCAGATAAGAGTTGACTGTCATTGGATATTGATATTCTTTCATAGATGCTACAGGTACTATTTTCCTTTGGCTGTTTTAAGAGTTTTCTCCTTTTTAGTTTTCAGAAATTTAAATACAACATGTACTGGTGTGGGTTTCTTTTCTTTTTTTCCTCTTTGGAGTTTTTCTTAACTTCTTGAATTGTGTTTTTTGTATCTTTCACCAAATTTTGTGATTTTTTAAAGTCATTACTTCTTAGATGATTTTCAAATTTTTCATTCTTTCAATTCTTTTTTTTGAAACTCTCACAGTAGAAAGATTGTCTTCTTTATTAACTCACAGATCTCCAAGGCTCTTCTGCCTCATCAGTAGATAGTTTTCTCATTCAAAAGCAGTATCTCTGGTTCTTGGTATGATGAGTGATTTTTAAAAAATTGTATCCTGGACAATTTGATAATTATGTCAGGAAACTAATCCCACTTAAATCTTCTCATTTAGCAGGCATTCACTGTTTAGATTTAGCATGTTTGTTCTGGTTTCAATCTGCAAGTTTCATTCCATTGACAATTTGGTTTTTGGAGCCATTTTGTACTCTGAAATCCCATTTGCTGCTGTCTGCAGGGGTGCCAGGCACTTGGGCTRTCTACTGTTTCTGGGTGACCTCCAGGGGTGCAGGGCAGAAGTTGCTGCCTGAGTCTTCTTATGACAGGGGTAAAGATGCAGGGAAAGCAAGTCCCTCACCTGGCATGTGCTCTCTGGGAGTTATCTCTTTTTTAAAAATTTTTTTAGTTGTAATTGGTACAATATTTTTATTTATTTATTTATTTTTATGTGGTGCTGAGGATCGAACCCAGTCCCTCACGCATGGAAGGCAAGTGCTCTACCACTGAGCTACAGTCCCAGCCCCTCTGTCACCACCACTGTCACTATTGCCACCACCACTGTCACTATTCTGGCCTCAGAGGAGCTTTGCAAATAAAATTACTTGCCAAATCCTGAGCAAAATAGGTGTCTGGAACCCCCATCATCTCTTCTACCTAGCTTACTGATCTTTTTTTAAAAAATATATATATTTATTTAATTATTAGTTGTAGTTGGACACAATATCTTTATGTATTTATTTATTTTTATGTGGTGCTGAGGATGGAACCCAGAGCCTCGCCCGTGCTAGGTAAGCGCTCTGCCRCTGAGCCCCAGCCCCGGCCACTGCTGATGATCTTCCCTGCCATCTCCACCCTGAGAAGCCTTTAGCTGCCCACTCAGAGCAAGGTGCATCCTGTGCTGGGCATGGGCCGTGACAGCTTTTGCCCAGTATTTGCTGGTGGTTTTCTAGGCCTCCTGCACTGCCTGCCAACCCCCCTCAAGATACAAAGTTTGGTCTGGCTTCGTAAGTTACGTCCCCTACCTAGCAAAATGCCTGGCAGGTGGGACTTCAGTGCTTACTGAATATCCTCAGAAAGGAAGTCAAATCAGATGCAGGTGCCCGAGGTGAGAGCAGCTGGGTGGGTCAGGGTGCAGAGGGACCCATTGGTGTCTGATCTGTGGCCTGTGGTGAGGCTTGGGAGACACCTTGGGCGGAGGCTTGGATGCRTGTTTGGCCATCAGTTTTGGTTCTCTTCCTACCCTGATTCTCCGTATGGGAGGCAGAGCCTGTTCACTTGTGGAAGTTGGGGGTCCTGGCCTCCCATCAGCTGGAGAGAGCGTTGTATGAACCAGGCCCCACCAGGCAGAAAAGCCTCATGGGCTCTGAGTTGCAAGTCAGCGATTCCAAATGGTGCCAGCAGGGACTCCGTGGCAGTGATGGCAGGTGCAGTCGGATGTAGCTCCTTGGGTGACAGGGACAGCAGGCTGCTGGTCCAGCTCAGAGCCAGCATCTCCAAAGTTGGCGAGGCAAGGCGTAGCATCTGGTGCTTGGCAGCAGAGCTGCAGCGGGGTCCCAACAGGCAGGTCTGTGGCAGGATCAGAGGCCTTGCTCCCAGTGTGAGGTCCTAAACCACGTTCTCCTGCCAGTTGGGTAAGGCTGTGAGCCATCCCATGTCCTTCCCATAAATTCCTTTCTTCTTGGGTCAACCACAATTAGTTTTCTTGCTTATAATTAAAGCTGGACTGATACCCTGGGCCTGAGAGGAGTGGACAGGCTTAAGGAAACAGTTAGAAACCTCCAAGTCCTGTATTTCTTACTAATAGTCTCTTAGTATTATTTTTGCATATTAAGTAGAGTGCATTCCAGCTGGGCGCCGAGGTACATGCCTGTCATCCCAGTGGCTCGGGAGGTGGAGGCAGGAGGATCACGAGTTCAAAGCCAGCCTCAGCAGTGGCGAGCCACTAAGCAACTCAGTGAGATCCCATCTCTAAACAAAATCCAAAATAGGGCTGGGGATATGGCTCTGTGGTTAAGTAACCCTGGGTTCAATCTCCAGTATAATAATAATAAAAAAAAGGAAAGTGCATTCCAGTGAATTTAAATTTGTCTGAAAGTCCATCTTTTTCTATATTGATGAAGCATTCAAAAGATTTTCTAATTTATAATTGTTTAATATAAGTTAAATATCATTCATCTCTCTTAACATATACCATGTGTATAATTTTACCTTTTTTATATGAAGAGTTGTGGATGGTGTTATGATTGATATAATGTGTAGGAGAGAGAATAAGCCATAACTTATTCCCTTTGATTCTGATTCTGACTGGAACAATCATCCCTTAATAGCCCTGGAGGATTGGCTCTAGAATCCCCCAGGATACCAAAATCTGCAGATGCAATCGTATTTGCTTTTGCACATATCCACCTGTGTGCTTTAAATAACCTTTAGATTATTTATAACACCTACTACAATGTAAATGCTACATAAATAGTTGTTCAACTGTATTGTTTAGGAAATAATTAGAAGAAAAAAGTCTGTACATGTTCAGCACAGATGCAAATTTTTCCTCAAAGATTTCCAATCCATAGTTGGTTGACTCCATGCGTATAGAATCCATAGCTTTGTGCCAACTGTATTTGTATGTCTATGATATATAAAACAGCATTTAGTCCCCCACTCAATACCACGCACTTTTGTAAGACCTAATGTGCACGTGAACTTCTGTAGTTGCTAGAACCTATTAGATATATCCCTGTGCTATTGTCAGATTGCTAATGATATCGTGCTCGTGTTTGCCAAACGTTGGGTATCGTGAGTAAATCTGGGTTTGAAATAAACACAGTCCCTACCAGGGTGCATCTGGGCTGTGTGTTTAAGCTCTTTTGACAGCTGGATGAGATGTAACTGAGTTAGCGTCCCACGAAGAAACTCAAAGATAAAATTGCATTAAGATTTCTGTCATCAAGGCAGGAAACCCACAGTCCTGGCTGCTAACAGTTCTTGTACTGCCTAGAAAGAGACTTTGGTGACACACCCAGGGATCTGATGTCTTGAAATCATTTTACTTAAATTATTATTATTATTAATTTTTTTAGTTGTAGGAGGACACAATACCTTTATTTTATTTATTTTTATGCGGTGCTGCGGATATAACCCGGTGCCTCAAGTGCTGTGGATATAACCTGGTGCTAGGCAAGTGCTCTGCCACTGAGCTACAGCCCCAGCCCTAATGATTATTTTTGGAAGCAGAAAATAAATACCACTCTTTTGTGAGATCTCTGGGTACCTCTTTTTCCCCACAGGTTGGAAGCTCCACGAACACCCTGGATGCCCTACGGATTGCTTTTGCTGATCAAGAAACACAAGTGATCTACCTTCTGACGGACGGCAGACCTGATCAGGTTCTTATTTTCACTGAAAGTGAATGCTGAGGATGGGTTTGGGGGACCTTTTGGATGACTTTAAAGAAGTGGTTGAGAGGTGTCCCTTGGCTTAGGGACCCAGAACTGAGGTGAGAAGCCGCACTGGGGAATTCCTTTGTCTGCCTCAGCTCTGAGGAGCCCTGTGACACACACACCTACGGTCCTGGAGACCAACCCGGGGAGGGGAGGCATCCGCCTTCTGTTGGAGTCTGGTTTACACTTTACTACAAATTAAGAGTGAGGAGAGTCTCCCCCCAACACACACACACACACACACACACACACACACACACACACCTTTGAGGACTCAATCTAAACATGTCACTGCACAACATCCTTGGCTTTGCCCCTAATTTTAGCACAGTCCTCATTTAAACAAAGCATGCCTTTCCAGTGAAATGTTCTTTGTTTTGTTTAGCCCGACTGGGAAATATTTGAAAGGTTCTGGAGAAGCCTGTTCAGCTTCTCTTGAGCTTTGTGAATGAAAGACGAGGGTTTCGGCCCTTAAATAAACACAGGGATTTCCAGGCCAGCCCAATGCAGATTACCCACTGGAGTGAATTACTATCACCTGGTTTCCTTCCTCGACAGATGTTTACATAGGCAGACTGCTAGGCAAAGATCCGAGAATATCCTGTGTCGGCTGGTTCATGGAGTAAAGCAGTTGGAATTTCCCCCCCTCAGCACTGGCTGTATGGCAGAGAGGCAGCATGTAAAGGGACATTTTATTTTGAGTGGTTTTCCCATCAACTTCGCTGTGTTTTCGGTTGGGAAGCAGATTCTTGCCTCTCTCTGACGTTCCCCGTGGGATACCAAGGTTAGAGGCTACGCAGGTGGACCATAGCTCATCCTGCCTGAGGGGCATCTGTCCTTAGGGGGACAAGCTGGACGTGCCTAGACAGTTAACTCTGATACAGTCCAGGGAGCCGGGCTGCCAGCCCGAGGCCAAGGCCCCGAGAAGGATGAGAGCCGTAGGAGATGGAGGGACCAGGGCAGGGCCCACCGGGGAGACCACACTGCAGCTGAGTCTGGGAAGAGGAGAAGGAATGTTCTGAGCAGAGGAGATGAATGGTGACCTGAGCAGGAAGGACAGAGGTGTGGACCCGGGGTGGAGGCTGGGTCAGAGAAACCTGCTGAGGCAGGGCTGAGGTGAGAAAGTCGGGTTGGGGAGGCGTGAAGGTTCCTGAGTGCCCTGCTAAAAGGGTGGGCATTTCTCTGGGAGGACCGCACGGCCCCGTCCATCCAGGCTTTAGAAGCATGCCCAGTAGTGCCAGGGAAAGGCTGGCTCTGCTCTGCCTCCTGCCTGCACCTTGGCAAGGGCTAGGAACGCCCAGCGGTGGGCAGCAGCAGCAGGAACGGGGAGGTGGGGACCCTCTCCTGAGATCAGATGGCAGCCACAAGACATGTGACTGGTTTAGGAGCAGGAATGGAGTGAGGAGAAGGTGGGAGCAGGGCAGAAAGGCATCGAGGCGACCAATTTCTGGCTTCCCCCATTATGTGATTAAGGATTGACCTTTAAATTTCAGGGAGCAGGAGGTTTGCACGCGCTGGTGTTCTGCGCGTGGAGTGCTGGGAGATTGAGTTCTGGAAACACGAGGCTGGATCTGATTTGGGAAAGACGTTGGCTAGGCGTTCTGATTGAAGAGTCATCAAGACAGGGCGTCTTCTTCTTTTTAATAAACTTATTTTCTCAATGTCTGCATTAGATGAGACTTAGAAAATATGGATAAGCATAAAAGAAGTCGATGGAAATCACTCATGATTGAATTCTGTGTTCTGCTTTGTTTTCATCTAATGTTCAAAACACGCCTTCCAAGTCACGAGGAATTCTTCAGAGGCCTCCTTCTCGAAGACTGTATCACATTCTGTTTTATGGGCTTAAGGATCCATTTTGTTATTCARTTTTTGAATAGTCATACATTCACGTGGCTCAAATCACAAAGGTACAAAGGGCATTTGGGGAAGTTCTCCCCCTCACCCCMCACGCCAGCTAGGGGGCAACTGAAGCCACCAGTTATGTCATGCAGGCAGAGATGTATCGACATAGAGATTCTGTCTTCAAACAAAACAGACGTTAGCGTCTTCTCCACGCGATTCTGCATCTTCACAGGGACTCCGAGCTTAGGAGCACCTCAAGTCGAGCGACTTGGCTARGCAAATCTTTCTCTGTGCTTCTTCTTCCCATTGACGTGCGAGACCCGGGAAGACCAGGGCCCCGCCGGGTTGGTCTTCATGCTCTCACTGYCTGGCAGTGTCCCTTCATTGAACTGAAATGACACATTTACAAAAAGCCCCTTATCCCTATGTGAGGAATCACTGTCTCGGTATTTTTCTATGGCAAATAGCAAGGGTTCTCCCACATCTTTGTCTTCCTTTCTCTCCCTCTCTTTTCTGTTTCAGCCACCTGAGACGGTGATAGAACRCGTCAAAGTTTTCCAGAAAATTCCTATTTACACCATTTCCTTCAATTACAATGACAAGATGGCGAATGAATTTTTGCAAGAGCTTGCTTCTTTGACRGGAGGAGAGTTTCATTCTTATAAATTTGGTGGCAAGGATCCCATTCCTCAGGAGGCTCTTCAGGTAAGAGCTTGATGGGCTAAGCACAGTGTTCATTTATTTTAACACGACCAGTGGAGGTGTAGGGGCAGTCAGTACCTTAGTAAAAAAACAGTAACCACAGAGAAAACCAAGTCAAGCAAACAAACTGGTTAACAAGTATACCAGCATTTCTCAGAAGTGGCCCAAGGGCTGAATGTGGTGGTGCAGGCCTGTCATCCCAACGGCTCAGGAGGCTGAGGCAGGAGGATCATAATTTCATGGCCAGCCTCAGCCTCTGAGTGGGTCTCTAAGAAACTTAATGAGACCCTGTCTCAAAAAGTGGGGGCGGTGGGGCACTGTGCCTTACATGGCTTAAAGTACTGTGGAAACCCATGGGCAGAATATCCTGGCCACCAGGATTCCAGAGTGCGTCCCTTGGAGTCTCAGTRTGGCTTCTAAGAAGTGATTCCCAGCTTCCCATATGCTCTGGTTAAGTCTTCCCATGGAGAGTGGAGGAAGAGCCATTGATTCAAAGTCCTTCCAGACACTGGGTGTCCATTCTGCAACCAGCTCTCCCAGTTAGTCTGGCGCTGGGGCTGGGGATGAAGATCAGTGGTAAAATGTCCCTGGGTTCAGTCCCCAAGGACCACCTGAACCGGGGCACAAACTCCATCAGGCTGTGGGCACAGAGGCCCGGGAATCTTAGGGTAATGTGTTTTCTTCTAAACTTTTTGTTATGGAAAGTTTCAAAAGTCTCAAAGTGCAAGGACCCCAAGGAGACCATCACTCAAATTTAACAACCATCAACATTTTGTCAAACTTTAGGAATTTGCATTACATGCAAGGGTCCCCGGGGCTCATGTGTGAGGTCTGTTAACCATTGCTATCTACCCATATYTGTGATACTTTCAAAAATTTCCAACGTAGGGTAGTTGTCTCCTGACTTCTCAGACTATGTGACCATGTGACCATCTGAAAAAGCAAAAAGTTCTCAGGGGTTATTAGGGGAAGCTAAGTACGATTCTATTTGCCAATCCTCCAATCTTGGCCAGAGGGTATGTACTTTAAGAATGCCCTTCTAGTAGCTCAGTGGTAGARCGCCTGCCTGGCATGTGTGAGGCACTGGGTTCGATTTTCAGCACTGCATATAGATATGATAAAGGTCCATCAATAACTAAAAAAAAGTTTTTAAAAAGAATGCTCTTCTCCATAGGAGTGTGCTTCTTGAATTATTGTATGCCCTGGGGTGAAAGGTGGGCTGCAGACTGGGAGAAGGTCTCTGCAAATGACATATTGAACAAAGAGTGTGAAGAGCTCTCAGCACTCAACAGTAAGAAGCAAAACATCCCATCAGAAAATAGGCAAACCACGTGCACACACTTCATAGAGGAGGATCATGGTGTCAGATAAGCTCATGAAAGGGGTTCAGAATCACTAGCCTTGGAGGACTGCAAACTGGACCACCATGAGACACCCCTGCACACCCTTCAGAATGGCAAAAAATCAAAAACTGTGAGAAAACCGAGTGCTGGGAAGGGTGAGGAGAAACTAGAAGGTCAACACACTGCTGGTGGGGTCGGATACTGTCACACCCATGCAGGATGCTAAATGAGAATGGCTGACTCTACCTTGCATCTTCAAGGATGTGGAGGAAATGGGACTCTCACGCGTTACTGATGGGAACATAAACGGAACGACCATATTGGGATACTTTGATAGTTTCTTTAGAAGTTTGACATCAGCATCTGTACGATCCAACAATTCTACTTCTAGTTCCCACCGTGAGAAATGGAAGCAGATGTCCATACACAGGCTGGCACACGAAAATTTAGAGTTTTATTGACAGTAGCCCAATCCTGGAAATAGCTCACCTGTGCATCAGCAGGCAAATGGATAAAAGTTGATACTTAGTGTACCATGGAATCATCCTCAGCAACAAAATGAATGTGCTCTTGATCCATGCTGCAGCATGGGCGAACCTCAAAATGATTATCCAAGTGAAGGAAGCCACACAAGAAAAGAGCATTTGCAGCATGATTCCATTTATATAGAATTCTAGAAAACTGAAATTAACATATCATAGCACAATATCCATGAGAAGTTTCTCAAGAATTGGGAAGAGGGGTTGTAGGAAGGAGGGCAGATTTGTCATGGAGTAGGAGAGAATTTGGTGGGGGTGGCAGATACATTCCTTCTCTTGATCATAATAATGATCTCAGGGGTGTGAATGTTGAAACTTCAAGCTGCACACTTCATATATGTCCAGTTTATTATGTGTGCAATACCTGTCCATAAGTGGGTTAGAAATGGATAAGATAGTATAAGAATCCCGTGGAAGTCTCCGGATTCTTCTTTTCCCGATGCAGTCCATTTTCTGCTGGAGATGTTTGAGATGGGAACTCTGATGCAACCTCACGATGTCCTCACCTCTCATTGCAACAGAATGAAGATGTGATTCTTTTGGTTCAGGAGATGGAGCAGGGCTACAGTGACCTGGAGAAGGTGCAAAGCCTTTATTCCAAGTCCTTGATCATGGACTGGTGGTACCACGGAGAGAAGGAAGAAAGCAAGTGAGTTCACGGGACCGCCCGCTGACCCCTGCCTGGGGGGTCCTCGCAGACACTCTCCTTGCTCTCCTTGMCTTCCCTCTCTAAAATGCTTCAGGAGATTTATTTTAGTGTAAGAATCACATAGTATAGATGAGTTAGGATTTTTTTTTTTTTTTTTTTAGCAGAGAGAATAATTTAATAGCAATCCATGGTCTTGAGAAAGCCACTTTCACGCTCTACCAAATGTGGACAGGTCCCCTAACCCAAGCATTGTCAGGACTGAAAGGTGCTGTATAACGAAGGAGCTTTAACTTGGAGATAAGGAGGCCCCGGCCTGGGCTTCCCTCAGAGGGCTCTTGGCGAGGGCCTAACTTGTCCATCACTGCGGGCCTCATTTCCTCATTGCTCTTTCTTTCTTTCTTTCTTTCTTTCTTTCTTTCTTTCTTTCTTTCTTTCTTTCTTTCTTTCTTCTTTCTTCATTTGCTTTGACACAGGGTCTCACTAAATTGCTGGGGCTGCCCTGAAGTTGGGATTCTCCTGCCTCAGCCTACTGAGTAGCTGGGATGACAGGCGTGCACCACAGTGCCTGGCTTTAGGTTCCCCATCTTTGACTTGGAGGCTCGAGTGGGAGGGTTTTGTTTTCCAGCCTATAGTATAATACATTTCTAATTCTTAGTTAAACCCCAAACCAAAAATATTCCCAGGCTGGGGATGTGGCTCAAGCGGTAKCGCGCTCACCTGTCATGCGTGGGGCACTGGGTTCGATCCTCAATACCACATAAAAATAAAGATATATTCCCAACTCTCAGGAAATGTGTCAGAAACTCATTAAGATGATTCAAGGGTCTGTGACCAGACATTCCAGGGTCACAGCCTACCCTGCCAAGGGGGTATCTTTTTATTTAAGAGCAAAACGGAAAGAAACTGAAGAAAAAAATAAATCAGAATTTCTTGTTCATCAAAATCGACTGTCTTCCTGTTAGCAAATGAGCATTTTACTGTATTATGTTTCAAGTATTTAGGAAAACATAGGTACATCTTCTAAACTCAGCAAATTTAGACAAAAAAAAAATAAAAACCAAGACTCAAACAAATGAGCTGCTCTTAAATGGACATTCCCTTCTGTGTACTTTCAGGCCTGTACCTTAAATCCATTCTTACCCTTTTTAATCAAATTTGAGATCTCAGGATACAAAGAGCAGCTATTTCTTAGAAAGTTGACTTGGTCAGTTGGCTACGTCTGCTATTTGAGTGGTGGATGAAGTCCTTTTTATTTTTATTTATTTTTTTGTCTGTTTATTTTAGTTTTATTTTTAAGGGCTGGCGGGAGCAGGTCCTGGAGTTGGACAGAGAAACATTTTAATATTCCCCTAGTACATAATGGGTGAYCTTGGGCAAGTCACAGAATTTTTCTGGGCCTGAGTTCCCTCCCCAGGGTGGGTTAAATAAGAGTGTGTCCAGCACATGATAAAACAGTCTTGCTTAACCTGATGGGAAGTGCTAGCCATAGCCCTTCATCCTGCAGATACCAGGCTTCTGAACTTCCTTTTAACTTAACGTTAGGAAAAGTTATTTCGCTCTCTTATCTGTGGTCAATCCCCAACTACCTTTTTCTGGTTTTTCCAGCAGAAGAAAATATTTAACACCCCCAAAGGCTTTTTCAAACATCTATTGAGAACAGGTTGTACACGGGGGACCTGGGACGCACATGAAGGTGCGCTTGATCTTTCCGCCAGGGGACGCACCCTGTGGGGACCATCACACAAAGGATTCCAGGATATGGGGTGGGTGCTTTGTGGGGGCATTTGGTGGGGTGTGAGGCGGGCTGGTGAAGGAGAAGGAGCACACTTTAAAGTGGTAAAGTGGGAGAATGTTCTGGAAACCTTCCTGTCTGTGGCTGGTGTGTTCTGAGCTTCAGAGAAAGAAATGTGTCAGAAAATAGTCAAGCATTTCTGGATCTTTCTTGGCTCCAGATCTTCCCCAGAATGGATGGCCGCCATCTCTTCCTCGGATGGGGGGGTCCAAGGTGGGAGTTTGCCTTCTCTGGCTTTTGTAAGAGCTTGCTGGTCGACCTGACCCTGTGATGAGAGAAATGGGTTTCTGTAAATCAGACATGCAAATACCAGGTGGTCCCTCTGTTAGCCCCTGTATCAGCCCTACCTCGTTGGTCCTCCCACCCTGGTGCCAATCCATTAAGGAGTACCTGGTTTTGAGAAAAAGGAAAAAGAAGGTTGATTGCTTTGCTCTGAAAGAAGAAACACAGGGGACTCTTGTCCCAAACTCTGTGATTCTGCCCATTCACAGGAACAGGAGTCTTTTATCGAGGTGATTCAGAGAAAATGAGATGAGGGAGGAGAGGTCAGGAAGGAGGAGGTTAGGGAAAAGAAGATTGGGAAAAAGGGAAAAAAATGTGCATTTTAAAGCCACAAGGGATAGAGTCAAAGCATCAAGTGAACCCCTGTTGAGGGTGCACAGGTGAAATTCCCTGAGGAACAGACAAGGGGAGTGAAGGAGTTTCAAGAAGACTGTGCAAGTTCTACGGGGTCACCCAGTGAGGGACAGACCTGTGGGGGGGGCCACTCAAGGACTGGACCCCTGTTCCCTCTCCTGCAGGGGCAGGGGGTARATGGCTATTTTTAATTCCAATAATGGAGGGCCCCTTTCTTTAAATTTGCAGTACTCAACATGCAGTACTCAAATTTCCTTCTTGATGGAAATTTTCTTTTTATTTATTTTTTTTTCTTTTTCTTTCGTCGTCTGTGTTTTATCTAAATACAAACAGGCATCAAAAGGAAATCTCTTCTATGGTTGCAACCCCAGAAAAATGTGCTAAAACTCAATCTGATGTTGAATCAACGCAAATCTCACYCTTCAATATATTGAAAGTACCCCGGGACCTCTCAAGTCAGCAGAAGAGGAAAGGCCTCCATGCAGGTATCAGTGAACACAATACAATGGCTTCTTTCTCTTTGCTGGTTTCCCTTCAATACGAGAAAACAGACTAGAACCCAACACACAGAGAATTTCTTTCCCAGCCCTAACCTGTGGGGTTTTATYGTTTTGGTGGTATTGGTGATTGAGCCCCCGACCTTGTACTTTTCCACTGAGCTAGCCTCAGCCYTCTCAGCCCTCATGGGGTTTTGCAATTACAATTCTTATTGAGATGATTATATATTTTCATGATCCCCTAGAACTACCCTCAACCCTGCTTCCACCAACGGTAATATCTTTCAAAATAATAAGCTAGGATCCTGACTTTGATATGATTCACAAATCATAGGTTGTCCCAGTCTTATTTCTATTTATCTGGGGTGTGTGCGACCATCTGTGTTTAAGAAGAATTTCAATATGAGGAATCCTTCATATTGCCCTTTTATAACCATATCACCTGCCTTGTGTATCCTTTCTTAAATTGGCAACCAGTAGGTCTCTATCTCTAAAATGTTGGTATTTAAAAAATATCGTGGTATGACCTTTTGGGACCGGCTTTTGTCACTCAGTACTTCCTTGGAAACTCACCCAAGTTTCGACCCGTGTCAGTGGTTCATTCTTCTTCATTGCTGAGTAGTATTCTGAGAAATGGATGTACATACCACAGTTGGAGCGTCTTCAGCATTTATCTGTTGAAGAACATCCAAGCCATTTTCAACTTCTGGCTGTTACCAATAAAGCAGTTTCTGAACATTCATTACAAGTTTTATGTAACATMCGTGTTGGTATTTGGAATAAAATGTCCAAGGGTGTGATTTGCCAGATCACGTGGTAATCAAATGTTTCATTGTTAAGGATATTGCCAAACTGTTTTCCAGATTGACTGTACCGTTGGGCACAATGAATGAGTGGCCCAGTCACTCCATACCTTCATCRGCACGAGCTGTCACTATTTTCTATCTTAGCCCTTCTGATAGTGGCTGCATCCCCCTAATTGCAAATGATGTTGAGCCTCTCTTCCTGGGCTTATTTGCTCTCTGTGGATCATCATTAGTGTGTGCCTGTGTTTTGCCCATTTTCTAAATGAGTAGTTTGTCTTTCCTGCTGATTAGAAGAGGTCTTCATATCGTCTAGAGACAGGATATGTCATTGGCATATATTTTTTCGCTATCTGTATCTTGTCTTTTCATCCCCTTAACAAGGTCTTTTGCCAAGCAAAAACTTTTAATTTCGATGAGTCCAGTTTATCAGTTTTTCCATTCACAGATCCTACTTTTGGGGTCAAATCTAAAAACAAATGTTAATTCTTGAAGATTTTAGTTTATGTGGTTTTTTTCCTCCAGAAATGTTATAGTTTTATGTTTTACCTATAAGTCCATGATTCATTTGAGTTTTAGGCCAAATTTCTTTTTCTTTTTGGCCTATAGTTATTGCTTTAGAAGTATTTACTGAAAAGGCTGTACTTCAATTAATTCATCTGAACCTTTGACAAAAACCTTTGGGTATGTTTGTGTGAGTTAAATCTATTTTCTGTATTCTATTCAATTGATCCAGTGTCTGTTTCTCTGCCAATACCACATGGTCTTGATTCCATGTGTTTACATAGTAAATTTTAAAACCAGGTCCAGTGATGCTTTCAACCTAATCCTTCAAAATCATTGTAGCTTTTCTAGGACCTGATATGTATGTGTAAATTTCAGAACATGTTTRTCTATGTTTATAAAAAAATATCTTCCTGGGATGTCTTCTGAGTAGCATTAAACCTACAGATCCATTTGGGGAGAACTGTCATCTATAATGCCAGTTGCTCCAGCCCATGAACATGGTATGTCTCTTCCATTAGTCTTTTTTGATGTCTTGCAGTAGCATGTTGTAACTTTCAGCATGTAGGTTATGTAAAAAAATGCAGGTGATTTTTTTTTTTTTTTTTTTGGTGCTGGGGAGTGAACCCAGGGCCTTGTGCATGCAAGGCAAGCACTCTACCAACTGCATTATATCCCTCATATAGTGGATTTTTATGTGGATCTTCAACCCTGTGGAACTCAATAGTCCTAGAAGTTCTATTGTCTCTATAGGCAAAATGTTACCTGCAAATAGAGTTTTATCTTCTCCTTTCCAATCTTTCTAACTTTATTTCTTCTTCTTGCCTTGCTGCAATAGCTAGAACTTCCAGTACCATATTGAAATAAGAGTGGCCATCCTTGCCTTTTATCCCATCTTAGGAAGAAGGAATTTAGTCTTTTCCCATTCTGATTTTAGCTATATGTGGTTGCACATATTGCTTCAAGTTGAGAATGTTCTCCATATTCCTAGCTTTCTGAAAGTTTTTATCAACAATGGATGCTGGATTTTGGCAAATGCCTTTTCTATATCAATACATGATTTTTATTCTTTTGTCTATTGATATGGCAGATTCCATTATGTCCCTTTCAAATGATGAGGCAGCCTTGGATATCTTGAATATTTTCTGCTTTGTCTTGGTGTGCCATTCTTTTAGTATGTTGCTAGGTTTTGTGAGCTAAAGTTTTGTTGAGGATTTTTGAATCAAAATTGCTGAAGGGTATTGGTCTGTAGTTCTTTCTTAATAATGTCTTTGTCCAATTTCGGTATCAAGCTAATAGAGTCCTCATCAAATGGGTTGGGAAGTTGTCCCTCCTCTTCTACTCCTGGAAGAAACTGATGTAATTCTTTTAATGTTTGGTAAAATTATCATGGAACCATTTAAATCTACAGAGTTCTTTTTCAGAATGTTTTTCATCATGAATTCAGTTTCCATAATGGTTTTAACATTATTATTATCTTGTTTAAATTATTATTTCATCTTTTTTAAATGTTAGAAGTTAATAGGTTTGGGGGAAGAGGCTCATTTTCTTCTACTTTGTTAAATTTGTGAGCACAAGTTGTTCATGATGTTCCTTCTCTTCCTTTTCATTGGCTGCAGGATCTGTACTAGTGCCCCTCCTTTCATTGCTCGTTCTTTGTGCCTTAAGTCTATCTTCTCTCTTTTTGTCTTTTTCATTCTTGCAAGAGGATTCCTTTCCTATTTCCTCATTTGTTTCAAGAGAATTAGTGATTAACCATGAAAGCATCTGAATGGACAGCTTCTTTGAAATCCTGGTTGGATAATTCTAATTTCTGACTCATCTTGCTGGCATCAATATTGTTTTTTTTTTCTTATTGAAGATTTGATTCTTAGTTCTTGAAAGACAAGTGATTTATTGTAGTATCCTGAACATTTTGCGTATTATTTGGGGGACTTTGGATCCCATGTAAGTCTTTTATTTGGGGGCAGTGGCCACTCTGTTTTAAATTTAGCAATGTAGGCCTTGGCCTGCTCTTGTGGGCTGTGGTTGCCATGGTAATTTAATTTTTATAGCCTTTGGGGTATATTTCTGGTATTATTATTTTCTTGTTTTTTCTGGCATCTCTGGCTCTCCTTTTGGTCCCTGCTGGTTTTGCCCAAGGTGGCAACAGAGGTCTCCTCAGACCAGAATGCTAGGTCTTCCAGGGGGAAGATTGTGGTGGCTTCTCCCACTGCTGTCCCTTGGGGGTCCCCATGTCTCTAGGCAGGAGAATCCAGCCTTGACCTCACAAGGACATAGAGGCATCCTGGAACAAACCATGAGCTACAACTCAGTCCCTTGTGAATAACCTGTCCACTTGCTCCTGATGTCCCTGTACAAGGGAGAAGTGTCTTATGTTCCTGGGGAAAAAAAACAGGTTTCCCATCCCAGGCCAATTGGTGGCTGCGTCCCCAGTACCAATCGGTCCTGGATGCCTCGCCCAGTAAACCTGAGTCTTGCCAGAGCTGTTATTTGCTACTTGTTCAAAACATTTCACTTATAAAAATCCTTGGTATTGGGCAGGCAACCAGGTACTGTATTTTTTATTTCATTTTCACTTTCAAAGCAGAAGAGTGCTGAAATGGAGCTGCTAAGCAGAGTCAGGGGAAGAGTTAGATGCTTGAATCCACTGCTATATGAATCTGTTTTTATTCRGTATCTTCGGGTGTGGCACTAGGACATCTTTTTGTATGGGGCCTTTGGGAGCTAGATTTCATTTTCTTTTTGCCGCAGTCTTGTATCTGGAGGGGTTTGCCTTGTGATTGTGGACAAGGTGGCCTGCCAGTGAGGTCAGCAACAGGAGCTCAGCTCTCCCATGAGGGTCATTGATCTCTTGCTCACAGACACAGCTCCCAAGAAAATGTGTCTTTCTTCACTCTTGGCTACAGAGGCAGCAAGACCAGTCTCACCTTCTTGTTGCCTAGAAAGAAAAGACAATGAGCACCAGATAGCACAGTCCCATCTCCATGCATGGAGACCGCTGGTGCCACTGTTCTGTGCAGCAGAGAGATCATTTGCAGATTACTGGCCAAGCTTCACTCCCACTATCTAATTTCTTATAGGAGAGAGTGAGTCCCCCTCCTACATTGAAAACATGGATGCATTTCTTTCATGAACGCTTATAGAGAGCCTTGGTGCTTGTGAAGAACACAGAACACATTTACAGTCAGTGTGTGTGTTATCGAGGATGAAAAGGAACTAAGATACCTTGTAACAGACTCATTTAATGCTCACAGATTCAGTATCACCATTGAACCAGTCAAGGGACCTACAGAGGGTTAATAACAATTAAATGAAGTCTGAACAGCAGCTGTGGTGGGCAGAATTTCTAAAAGGGCTCACCAAAGATGTCCTGCCCTAAACCCTGAAGCCTCTAAACATGACAAGACATTGCTCTAGAGGTTATGTTACATTGACTCAAAGCCAAGGTATCCAGGGGGTCCAGTGTGGCCACATGAAATCCCTTGAAAACTGGTGGCAAAAGAGAGAGGGAGATTTGAGCCGTAATAGGAATTCAGTGCATCATTGCTGGCTGGCAGGTGGCAGAAAGCAGGAGACAGGCTGCTGGCTGAGGAAATGGGAACCTCAGTCCTGCAGCCACAAGGATTGCACCTGCCGACAATGTGAATGAACGTGGAAGTGGGTTTCTTACCAAGAAGAGCACAGCTTGAATTCTGATACAGGGATCAAGTCATTGTCACAGCACTCGGTTTGCATCAGGGCCACCCCCTGAAGACTGGGACACTAAGGTTGCACTCTTCTTTGAAGGATTTAGGGAAATAGGTGCATGAATCAAGTATCTCTTTCCACCCCAAATCCCTTTAATCCCTCTCCCTGTGGTACCAACAGAATCAACCAAAACCAGCCTGCTCAGAAGCCAGATGTCCGCCCTCAAGAGCCCACCTTGCRGTGAGAGAAAGGACTGTCTCTCCAAATCCAGCAGCTGGACCCTTTCTCTGAGTGACAGAGGCAAGTACACGAGGGTCCCTGTCCCGGGATGTGCTGGCCAGCCTCCTTTGGCCCCATGTCCCTGTTCTGAACGAGCTGGATAGGCATATGTTGGGGGAAAATGAGTCACAATTTCAAGGTTCTCAGATTGCCTCCCATTTGGAGGGCTCCCCTGTCAGTCGGCTCCAGCAGCCTTGGTGTGCTGGATTCCTTTGGGCTAGACTTRTGCTGCTTGCACTTTGGTTCAGGACACACCAGCAGCTTGGGGCCACTCTGTGCTTCCAATTGGAACCKTTTATACTTCATAGTGTGTTTATTTTCTTCCCATCAATCACTGGTGGTGCTATCTGATGATCCCCTCTCTGACCCAAATTGTTAGCCTTTTGGGGCTAAATATAAAGAAAACTTGACTTTTCCACTTGGAATTTATTCCTATTGATAAAATTATTCTTAAAATAATAAATTTTTAAAAGTTGAAGTTCCCATATTATTTTCCCCTTACATAAAATAGTTAACTAAATAATAAATCCCAAACCCACAGACATACGGTCCCCTACTCATGGCTGATGTGCACCTGTTGTCACTCATCAGAGCCTAATCAAACCCTGTTTTCAGGGCCTGCTCTGTGTGACATTTTTTCCCTCAATGTCACTTAGCCTGTCATATCTCTGCTACACACACACAGTCCATAAAGGGCTTATCAAACAATGACTAGGATTTGATTTCTTAGGGATTTAGCCCACCCATTTAACCCCTCCCTGCAGATGCTCCTCATTCAGTGAGGTGACATTCCTTTCCATTCATAAAACCAAGTGCCTACAAGGGCACACTCTTAAAACTCCAGATACTGATTTCAAAACTTGCCTARCAAGTGTGAACCTCAACTAGTGTGATCCTGTGCATTTTGTCACATACCCGCCATGGTCTCTTCCACAGAGGTGAGCATCCTGCTGACGAATGAGTATCCGGCCGACGGATCRTCAGCTAGATGGACGGGAGAAGGAAGCCAAGTCTACGATGACAAGTGAGAGCCTTCCTTTGAGGAGGATAATTTCATTATGCTGTTGTTCATGACCCATTGAGACAGAAGTGTTAAAACCCCACAATCCTCTGTTGTTAGCCTTTCAGAGGTGTCCTCAGAGAGCTGGCTTCAGATCCACGGCCTGGTGGCCAGGAAGCTCACCATCATGGACGCCTTGTCAGGGACCATGGTGCCCCACAGCCCCACCTACGTTCCCATCTTGGACAAGCATGTCTCCTCCAAGGTCTTTGATGAGGTAACCCGATGGTCTTCATGTCGCTGCTTGGGATATGTTTAGTTTTCTGTTTAAATAAAAATAAACCCAGTGCAGTTTCCTGTGCCGCTGTAACAAGCATATTTCAGCCATTGGAAGAAATCGTCCTTAAGGCAGGGACAGGGAAAGAGAGAGGCACTTAAGAGTCCTTGGTTGAAGTTGAGACAGGCGGCRGAGGGCTGGTCCCTCCTGTGGAAGTCCAGAGCTGCAGAAGTGCTTGGAAGCTCTCGAGGCCTGAGCCTAGCGAGCACAGCATCCAGGACCAGATGAGTCTGGAAGAACTTGGAAGCRGTCCCGTGCTTCCTGAATTGAGTGACTTCTTTTTCATCCTAAAGCCCTCCACCGGAAAAGTCAGAGAGTGGGAGARAGACCAAACCACAGAGAGTGATTGGATAGCCATGTGCTCCAGGAGAAACAGCCTGGAGCAGGGGGCGGGTGGGGGGTGGCTGAAGGGCCAGGCAGACAGCCGGCGCTTCGGTATCTGCAGGGTCTGTGTCTGCAGATTCCACTGACCACATGTTGAAATACCCAGGAAGACAATGGCATTGTACTGGACGTGTGCAGAGGGGTTTTTCCTTGTTGTTTTTCCTTAAAAATTCATTGTGGCAGCAGGTACAGTGGCACACACCTGTAACCCCAGCAGCTTGGGAGGCTGAGGCAGGAGGATCAAGAGTTCAAAGCCAGCCTCAGCAACCTAGTGAGGCACTAAGCAACTCAGTGAGATTCTGACTCTAAATAAAAGTATGTGTTAAGTGGTTAAGTGTCTCTGGGTTCCATCCCCAGAACAAAAAAAAGAAAAAAAAGAAAAAAGAAAAGAAAGAAAAAAAAAAACCTCAGTACTGCATAACATTTACATTGTTTACATTGTAAGAAATATTATAAATCATCTACAGATGATCTAAAGTGTATGGGAGAATGTGCATAAATTGTATGCAAAGACCATGCCATTTGATATAAGGCATTTGAGCATCTGCAGCTTTGGTACTTGCTAGTGGGAAAAGGGGTTCCTGGATGCTGAGGGATCCCCCCAGGTACTGACAGATGATTGTACTGAAAAGTTACCATCAAATTTGGCAACTAGGAAGTCCTTGTCCTTAGCAAGAACAATTCCAGGTTCAAAGCCAGCCTCAGCAACTTAGCAAGGCCCTAAGCAACTTAGCGAGGCCCTGTCTCAACATAAAAAAATAAAAAGGGCTGGGGATGTGGCTCTGGTTAAGTGCCCCTAGGTTCAGTCCCTGATACCAAAAAGAAATAAAATAAAATAAAAWAATAAAAACAAAAGAACAATTTCAGGGAGCATGGAGACTCCAGTGGGACATAGAACACCAAAGAATGTAAGCGTAGAGACTGGGCTCCACTGCTTCCCGGCAAAGGTAGCAACTACTGCTTTATAGTAGCTAAATGGAAACAATGTCCTTAAAAGGCCTTTCTCATACTGAAATATTTAAGGAGGAAATGATAAAATGTTTGGAACTTGCTTCAACATAAGCTGGATGGTGGGAGTAGTGGGGGAGGCTAGGAGTGGGTGAAACACATTGTTTATAGTTGATAATTGTCGAGGGGGAGGCTGAATGTACTATTCCTTCTGCTTTTTGTATATTTGAGATTTTCCATAAGAACAAAGTGATAAAAATCAAAAGCAAAAAATCTTTTTAAATAGGAAAGTTTAAGGCCAGCCTCAACAACTTAGAGAAGCCCTAAACAACTTAGCCAGATCCTGTCTCAAAAAAATAAAAAATAAAAAAAATAAAAAGGGCTGGAAATTTGGCTCAGTTTTTAAGTGCCCCTGGGTTCAATCCCCAGTACCCGCCCCCCCCAAAAAAGAAGAAAAAAAAATTATATCTCCCCCGGAAGTCAACAGGCATCTTGCCAGCATCACTGTTCCTACTCTGGCGGTTGAGTGTGGCTTCATTTCATCTGGTTCCTGCTACTTTGTCTCAAGATTCCAGAAGCAACAGAAAGGTGAACATTGATTCAATTCATCCAGGAAACTTGGTTAMCTTTTCTTCATATTCTGTATATTTCTTACATTAGTATCCTTGAGTTTTTATTTAGAATAAGATATATTTAGTCAAGTCTTCCTGGAAATAGACTTTTTCCTGGGTTTATGCCTCTTTAAGCCTCCCAAGAAGTTGAGACACAGTGAAAAGTAAATTTCTCAAAAATCAGGAAGTGTAAGCAGAGAATCAAAGAAAGAAGTCATAAAGGAAAGATTTATAGACTGAATATATAGAAGGGTTTTTTTACATAGAGACATAAATAAAATGAAGACAGAATTCAGAAAAATATCTGTAACATATGCAACACACAAAGGATCCTAAGAGTATTTTATGTGTGTATGTGTGTATCYGTATAAATCAGTGTTCAGCAAAGATACAACCATGCACACAAACCCATACCKCGCAGGAATACGAAAATGATATACACCTTAGTGGAAAATCTAGGGGGAAAAAATCAAAACTACATACAAAATTACTTACCTTCCCTGGTTACCAAATAGTATGACTTAGAAAAAAACGTAAATTGGAAATCAGTTAGACACCCTCCCCCATTGAAGTGGTAGGGTCAAAAAATAAAGCTGGAATGAAATGAGAAACTTTACATCCTGCTAGTAGGGGTTTTAATTAGTGTAAGCTTGCGTACAATGTCTTCAGATCCTTAAGGGCTTAAAACATTTACCCTTGTAAATCCTTATATCACTAGGAATCTATGTAAGTAAATRCTCAATTAGAGATATTGACAAATACATGCAAAGAATAATTATTGATGGTTTACATCTAAAAATGAGAAACTTGAAGTCAATCTAAATACCTACTAAGTACATTCCTATAATCACATATTGTATACTCATTAAATGCATTTCTGAAGGATAAGTAATGACCTGGGGAAAATCCTCAATATCATACTGAATGGAAAGATCAGGRCACAAAACTGCCCATGTCGAGTGTTGACCGCTGGGTTACAGGTGTGCTCGGCACAGGTGGACAGAGTACCTCCTCATTCCCTTCTTTCTTTTATCAAATGTTAATAGTTTGGCTGGGGGTGTGATTGTTGGTAATTTTTTTTTTAATTATAGATGGACCCAGTACCTTTATTTTATTTATTTATTTTTATGTGGTRCTGAGGATCAAACCCAGTGCCTCACACAGGCCAGATGAGTACGCTRCCACTGAGCCACAACCCCAGCCCCTAATGTTTGTTTTTTATTTATATGCTTGCATGTTTTYATTGTAGATTAACTCTGAACCTACATGAATTACATACTGAGGAAAAGTTAAGAAAAGCAGAATTAACAGCAAAAGAGAAGATGGTGAAAATACAAAAAGAACTCGATTGTTAATTAGTTAATTAGTTTTTTTTTTTATCTGATGAGTGATGTATGAATAGATTTTCAGCATGAATAATTTAACCCATATAAAAGTCTTCAGAGGAATCTCTGGATGCTTCTCTGACATGAAGGGACCACTGAATAGTTTGGTGAATTTCCTTCTAATTCTTTTTCTATACACACACAGATCAATGTGTGTGTGTATATAACATGCTATTTATACATAATAATTTTAATCAATATAAATAAGGCAATACCATATGGATTTGCAGTTTGGTCTTTTGAAAAATGTGTCTTAGAGGGCTGGAATTGTGGCTCAGTGGTAGAGTGTTTGCCTGGCATGCATGAGGCCCTGGGTTTGATCCTCAGTGTTGCATATAAATAAATAAATAAATTAAATAAAATAAAAGATCCATTGACAACTAAAAAATATCTTAAAAAAAGAAAAGAAAAATGTGTCTTAGAGACCTTTCCACACCATAGATCTGGGTCAGTCTTACTCTCTTCAGTTGTAATGTTCTTCCGTATTATTAAGGGACACCTACATCATGTCCTTCCTTCCCTGTAGATTTCACTGCACACAGATTTGTTGGCACATGGACAAGACGACCTTTGAGACAGATTCCCTCCAGTGGGATTGCTAGACCCAAAGGACCTGTGCATTTTCCATTTTGATGGGGAAGTCCAAATCATTCTCTCAATACATTTTACACTTCCACCAGTCTGCACCCCCACAGGCAGTGTAGGATAGGGCCCTTTCCTGAAGAGGAACCCTATGATGCTGTTGGTGATATGCTTTGTGGGTGTGGAGATGTGCTGGTGGTGCTGAAGGTGGTGTGCGGGTATGAACTGTTCTTCAACCTGCCCACCCCTCACTGGCTCATATGCTGTAGAAGCAAACATAGTAACTTAGTCCCACAGTCAGAAATCGTTTCTTTGGGATGCATCCTATACATGTGTGCTCTGGGAGAAGCGTTATTACTTACGCTGAGATTGCTATAGTGTGAGAAGAAGTAATGCATACAGTGGGTAGTACTTAGAGGCGTTTAATTACATGCCTTCTGCATGCCGGTGCTGGGCTCTGGAATACGTGCCAAGGAGGACAGCTGACATGCGGGAGAGGCCCCAACTTGATTCCTTATCAGGGAAGGTTGGTCTTAGCAGGTGTCAGCGTCATGAAGTGGAGGAGGTGGAGGGTCCCTGGCAGGGGCTGCTGTGGGCCAGCCTGTGGGCCAGCCTGTGGGCCAGCCTGTGGGCCAGCGTTTGTTCTGGGAATCCTCCAGGTTGATGAAGGGAGCACCTTGGCTGAATTGAGGAGTTTGAACTTCATCCTGAGGGGAATGAAGGGCTCTCAGCAGACGAGAGAAAATTAATCTGAGGTCCTGGCTGCCATGAGCAGGCTCGGGGGAGAGGAGCGAGGTTGGGAAGATTCAGGGGGGGTGGGGAGGCACGCTGTGGGCAGCCCAGACCTAGTGGCGCCCCGAGTGGATCCAAGGCCATTATCGAGTCAAGTGGACAGGGCCGAGCAGTGTGTGGCTGGCAGAGAAAAATGTCAAGACCTCTATCAAGATTGCAGCCTGGATGATCTAGAAGGAAGAGGACGGGAGGGGAAGTAGTGAGAGCCCTGGCATTAGAACATTCCAGTCTTCTGCCC